TCATTTCTGTCAAAAGTCTGAAGATAAATATAAGACATACATTGTACATATGGAGCAAGGGCTAGGCAATATTTAGGGGAAAACCAGCCCTAAGGAAGTTAAAGTAACATTTTATAATTGTGCCCAGGCATCAAGCAGCTCTGGATTCACACTTCATACACAGTGAGAAGAAGAAATGACTGACACACCTTCCTCTAGAGAATTAGGAGCAAATTAAAAAAAAAAAGCAACAATCCATGAGCTGTGAAATGGTAATGATCAAGGTATTCTAAGAAGCACCACAAAGCCTTGCGTGTAAGGGGGAGAATACTGGGTCACACATCCCTCTGTGCTGTCTTGGCCTATACAATACAATGCTGTGGCATTGCACATGTAGGGGAGGAAGACATTTCCTCTTCCCAAATGTGGGTTCGTCTGGCCAGAGAACAAATTCAATTCACATGAGACAGAATAGCAAGAGAAAATTAAACAAAGCTTTATGAGGAATAATGGCCCAGGGCCTTTCTTCCCGAAGGAAGATAGGACACCGAAGAAGTGGGGTGCACAGAGTGGTTATATACCCCCAAACAGGGTGTTTCACATGTGATTGAAATGTCCCTCCCACAATAGTCACAAGATTGCCCTGTCGGCACAGTGCTTGATGGACACAGCAGGAGGCAAGTCTATTGTCTTGAGCTGGGTGGTCACAGGTGAGGTCGGCAATCAGTTCCTAGCCTAAGGAAAGATGCTTAATCCTTAAAGAAATGCCAACGTTGGAAGGGGGAGGGAAGTCAGTTACAGGAGGTTACCAGACAAGCACAATAAAATGCAGTTTTAAGTCCTTGCCTTTGGCATCGATTAAGAGTTTCTAGAGAGAAGGTCATCTCCTTTCTTCTTCCTGGTACAGAGAGGGAGGCACCCCCTACAGATAGAGATTTACCTTACAAATGTAAATGTGTCCTAACAAAGGGCAAGTTCCATTCCTCAGAGCCTCCTTCCCTGTCCCAGTTTATCAAAAGCAATCAGCCTCAAATAATCCTGATGCCAAAGAGACATATCTTGGGGTGGCCATTCCCGGGTCCCTACACACATGAAACTCAAAACCAACTACGGAGTGCTTATATTAACCTCTATTCTATGGCATTAAATATATTGCTTAATTTAATCTTCACAAACATTCTATGGGATTTGATTATTAATTTCCTTTTACAGATAAGAAAATTGAGGCATAGATTAAGTAACCTGCCCGCAATCACACACGTAGGAAGTGGTATAGGCAGTACTCATACCAAATGCAGATCAGAGCCCAAACCATGGGCTGGGTTAAAAGGGCCCCATTTTTGCATATTTTAAAAAGATACTCCCTCCTGGTGGATGAATTGAAAAGGATGAAATAATTAAGCAAGGTGGCCCTCTGTCAGACCTGTTCTAAAAGGTTTTTACAACCTTTTAAAAGATTCTCCCTCTGGACAGACCAATTACAGAAAGATTTCCCGTTCAGTGAGCTGACAGTTTTTTTTTTTTTGGCTTGGATCCATAGTTTGGCCAGAAAGACCTGGGCTGGATTTTCACTCACATTGATGGCCCCTCAGACGGGAGGAAGAACCTGCACCATGCCAGGAGAGATCCCAGTTATAACTCTTCATAATCTTGCCTGCACTACAATAGGCGAACTTACTATTTACCAGGAAGCTGTATCAGGATGACTCCATCCACCCCATACTTCATAATTAATAAATCATCTACCTTGTGGGTCTTACTTCCTAATTTTTTGTCGAGTCCAACCTTCTATTAGCTTCCCCTGTGTCCACTGCTCCACTTTAGGCATTCATCATCACTGGACTCATTCCATGTTTAAATTTCATTAATGACTCCTCTCCATTTATAGGGTAAACTGCAAATTCTATAGCAGCAAGTGGAAAGTCCTTTCCGTCCTCTCTCTGTCCCTGTTTCCTGGATCATCCCTTATAGATATTGATCTCCTTTACACACTCAGACTTTAGCACATTATGTCTTTTCTCTCTGGAATGCTCATGCATGTTCATGAACACTCACTCTGTCCTCTGTATAATTCCAGGACGGTGCCAGTGAAGTTTAGCTCCTTCCTTGACGCTACGATAGCCCCTGATGTAGACCTTATCACACTGTAAGACCCTTAATTATATGCACTTCTCTTTCTCCACCTGACTGTGAACTGCTTTAAGGCAGGGACTATGTCTCAGGCATCTTTACATCTCAGCAACCAGATCAAAAGCTAGTTTCTTAGTGTGCCCTCTTAAATTCTTATTGAGTGAATTAGCTGCCTCATTCATAGAATGGCTGTTTGCCTTATTTATAGCAGAGTCTATTTTTGTACACAAAAAAGACAGTTTTTCCTAAAATACTAAGTAATGTTATTAAAATTAGCATGAAAATTGAATGATAGAACAAAAATAAGGTAAGGAGAGTGAGTCAACAAGTCAGCATGACATCACACACACACAAAGTAAGTGCTCTTCTGTTTTGACAGATAATAAAATTGAGGCCTGCATTAAATAACTTGCCCCAAATCACACAGGTTACACATGGTAAAGGTAAGCGTGAATCCAGAGCTCAAACTCTTTGTGAACTAAAATAAAGCAAATGAAGAGTCATAATAAATACATTACAAAAGGCAAGTCCAGAGAGCTCATAGTATGTGAAGACGGAGGAGGAGACAGGAGTAAAAGATAAAGAAGAAAAACTAATAATGAGTGTTTATTCTGCAGCAGGCAGTTCAAATATACCTACTCATTTACTTCTCATACCAACAGCATAAGGTAGAAATGAATATTTTCCTTGTTTTTACAGACGAGACATAGAGAAGTGAAGAAACAGTTCAAGTTCACACAACTAGTAAGTGATGAAGGAAAGAACCAAGCCCAGGAAACCTGACTGAAGTGCACGCCATTGAATGCTACCCATGCAACTCAAGCTTTAGTTACACAAACGCATTATTCCGAGGGAACATGTCATAGTTTATATTCACAATCATAGCTGAACTCCCCTAATCAAAGTGCATAAGCAAACTATACATTTCCTGCAGACTCCATGTTATTCACATCATCATCATCTAAGGTAATTTCTGTGTTCTTTTCCATCTCTTTTCCCCCCTTCTCCTTCTTCTTCATTATTTGGGGTGGGTGAGTTTAATTTTAAATATAAATTTTCCCTTGGTGTAGTATAAGGAACAATGTTTATATTTTACTATTAAAATAGATGTTGCACATGAAGAATTTACAACTTTTTATGAAAATTCGAATCCCATATCTAAAAGCAAAAAATCCACAAGTATCCATTAATTTATGTAACTATACCCACTACACTATATGCAAGAGTTCTTATATATGAAAATATATATGCACTATAAGCAAACACCATGGAATGTAATACATACAAATATTATGTATTCTAGAACAAATATTATTGTAGACAAGAAATATATGAGACAGGTTCCTTTTAGAATTAATCCCAAACTTCTCTAGGCTGTTGAATAGAATTATATAGCCCACCATTCAAAGTCTTCCTTTAGACTAGCTACATTAGCATCACTTGGGAGTTTGTTAGAAATGCAAATTTAGGCCCCTCCCTAATACTTCTAATTTAGAATCTCCAGGGATGGAGAAAAGGAATCTGTGTTTTACCAAGCTCTCCACATGATTCTTATGCACTTGAAAGTTGAGAACTCTTATGGTCATATAATACTAGAATTTTATAACTGCAGGGGGCCACAAAAAACAGATATATGACTGTTTAGTATAGAGATGTCCAAAACAACTTTATAGATATATTTAAGGATCATAACAAAGGAAAGAGGAAGTGGACACATATGCACTTAAAAACAGACTGTCCATCTCCTATATACACGTATAACCTCTTCGGTTAAGACAGTACCTTCTGCTGTCTTAATAAGGTCTTCAAGGCCATTGACCTCAATGAACATAGGAAAAATTACCAAATTATGTTTCCATTCTAAAAACATAGCTTGCCCTGTTTCTACCCATGAAATGGGTAGGAAACGATTTTTCCTAATATTTTGGTGAGTATTGGAAACATTTTAATTGAACAAAATCTGGAACCCATGGCCTTTCTAACTTTGGGGAATTTTGACCCTGTCATAGATGAACATCGCACAAGGAAGTGCAGGTCTTTTTTAAAAGAACTAGACAAAATGAGTAAGAGTTCACCTACATGTTAGCATTTTCTAGTTCAGATCACTAAATTGCATGAAGTATTCATGCAAAGTCCAATTAGACAGTCTTTATTTTTTACTAGTTCACTAATCATTTTGAAACAAAATTTTTAAAAAGGAAAAGGCAAGAGGGAAGAAAATGAAAGACAGGAAGGAGGAGATGATAATACATTGGTTTGAAAAAACATCCTCCAAAGTACAAAATAATCCCAATTGTCATTGCAGAACAAAAACGTTTTATGTAAATTATGTGGTTTGGGGTAAGATTGATGTTGTACAAAATCTGAAGGAGTAATGGGTGTGTAAGATTTCAGGCATTGTCATGTTGAATGGGATGAAGAGAAAGAAATTATATTCTGCTCTAACTATATCAAACTATATTAGTTTAAGCTGAAATAATAATTTCAATGCTTTGAAAGAGTAATATTTTGATCTATGTAATCTTATCGGTTAGTTATAATTAATAAAAATAGATTTTGGTTGCCAAAATTTAAATAGTATTTGAGGTAGAATTTCATTAGAAATGTAAAGGATTAGAAACTGGAGCAGCTGTTGTGAGTAATTTTGAGGCATCATTCAGTTTAGACGCAAGAAAATTGGGTGACAACTTCTAAGTGTATTAAAATTTGTCTTCTGACTATAAATCGTGTATTACCTATGTATTTTATACCTATCTGTGAATAAAGTCATGGGCTGATGAACATCACATCCAGATAACGTTCTAAGCAACATCATTAATAAACAATAGCAATTGAGGTATAGCAACATTTATCAGAACTTATGCTTTACCGACGACATAAACAATAGTTACCTTTACAAATGCAACGATTTTCAAGGAGATTGTTGCTAAGTATAGGGAGTTCATCACAAAATCCATTAGATTCCACCAATCATGGATGTAATCTTGAAGTCCGCCATCCCACATTTGTTTAATTTCTCCCCATATAAAACCTGCAATTATAGAAAGATTCATTGTAAGTGTGATTTTTCAATCAAACCACTAAAACAGAGATAGAGATATACAACTTAAGAATTAAAGGATCTTGGAGCTGCAAGAGACTAGATAGTTACACTAAATGCAACATCGATTTTTCTAGGTAGTAATATTGAGTCCCAGCCAGATTTCAAAACTTTCAGGACACTCAGCTAATTGTAGAGGTTGCTCTTAGGGCGGCTTCACTTTCTTTTATCAGTCTGATAAATTCGTAAGAATGTGCAAGTTTTGAATCAAACTGCAATTCCTCTATGACTATATATTTTTCTCATGAAAATATCATAGCATTTACTTGTAAACAAATACTTTAAGACATGTTTCCTCCAAGTCAAAATGACTCAAGATTAATGAGAAAACAGTGTGTCTAGTGAGCATAACTCACTTACTACCCTTAAGCAGGGTACTTTGTTGTGCTTTTGTGACCAATTAGCACCTTCAGAGATCTGAGTTCAGTTCTGGACAAAAGACAAAAGACGGTTATAACATTCATATTGCTTCATTAAAATACCTCATGTCTAGCAATAGCTTTAGAGCTACATCCAGGGAAAATAAAAATCCTTTTATTTTATTACGCTAATATTTCTAATCAAAAATGTTTTATTTTCAAATTCTAGGAAATACTTTCAAAATATCACTGTATACTGTTATTCTACTTCTATAATCTTATCAAAATTTTATAAATCTATTTTTAGGTCCTGATAATGAGAAAGAGAGATATGAAAGTATCTAGAATCAAGAAATATTAAACGAATAAATATGACTTTATAACTACATCAATACAAGCAGACAAAACTTTTAAGATGATGATAGTCTGGAGCGTGAAATGTGAAGTGTAGAGTTTCACATGTGTCCTACACTAAAAGCAAGACAACATCAGATTAACTACAGAATCATAACTTTTCATGAGCCCATCAGAGAGATAAGAAACCAAGGAGCCTATACTTCAAAGAAAAGCAGGTTCCTCCAAAGCAAGCCACAATGTGAGTGTTAGCGCCCCTGCGCCCGAGTGCAGGGGTAACAGACACTGGCAACATACAAGAGAGGAAGAAGATTTCAGAAAATCTTTTGAAACAAACTTCTAGTGTGAGTGTGAGCTAGTGTGAGAGGATAGAACCCCTGGGACATAGTCCAAGGGGAGTGTCCACAAACTTGCCTGCTCTTTTCCATAGACCCCATCCACTGCTCAGGAGGCTGATTTTGGGGGAAGACACAAAGTCCTCCAGAGGCTCTTCTCTTTTAAGGAGCTCTATGGGAGAAGCAGGAAACAGTCGTGGGCCTCGCATTTATACCAAAATCATTAGAGGTTTCCTGCCACAGGGAGAGGCTGGAAACTCTTCTGCACAAGAGCTGCAAAGTTCTACTGCCATGAAAGGAGGGTATGGATCATTGAGAAACTGCATCCCTAACTCCCAGGCTAGGCCTATCGAAGTCTCACTACAGGACCCAATCACAGAGAATCTTCCTGCCTTACATCACCAGGCTGACAAACACCAGGTAAAAAGCAGAAGCTGGCAACTACTGGAGGAGTGGCAAGAGCATGGATTGAGACGCCCTCTGAAGCACAGGGACACAGGGAAGGCCAACAGCTGTTGGTGGAGCAGGAATTCTGAGAATAACACTCTTTCCCAGCTGTCTTAGTCCATTCAGTCTGCTATAACAAAGCTTCATAGATTGTCTTATAAACAACGGAAATTATTTCTCATCCTTCTGGAGGCTGCAAGTCTAAGATCAGGGTATCAGCATGGTTGAGCCTTGGTGAGTGCCCTCTTCTGTGTTGCAGATTACTGACATCCTTTGTATCACATGGCAGAAAGATAGCAAGTTAGTTTTCTGGTCTCTTCTTATAAGGGCACTAATCCCATTCCTGAGGGCTCCACCCTCATGACCTAATTGCCTGCCAAAGGCCCCACTTCCATACCATCACATTGGGGGTTAGGGTTTCAACATACGAATTTGTGGGGGAGGGGTGGTCACAGACATGTCATCCACAATACCACCTTAAGCAGAAGAGTATGGTGCCCTGAAATTGACTGCATCAATAACAAAACCCAAATCCATCTCAGCTCCTAACTATATTGCTTCAAATTCCTGCACTAATGTTCTAGCACAAGAGGCATGTCTATTTTCAGGCATAAATTCTGTGTACTTCTGTCTAGCCTTCTGCACAGGCAGAATAAATACCCTTACAGAACACACACACGCACGCCATGATACATCATATTCAAACTGTTTAAAACAAAAAAAAGGAAAAAAATATTGAAGGCATTGGGAGTGACAGGTGGGGTGGAAATAAACGATACATTGCATACAAAGAAATATTAGACTGACATCCAGCTTGTCTGAAGCTATGCAAGACAGAGTGATATCATGAAAGTGCTGAAAGGAAAAAAATAAGTCAACCCAGAATTCTTCACACAGCAGAAATAGCTCTAATAAATGAAGATGAACGAAAGACATGTTTTAGACAATCAAAACTCAGTTTATTGCCATGGGACCCATGCTACAAGAAATGCTAAAGGTATATTTTTTAGGCAGAGGGCATATGATACTAAACAGAAACTTGTTTATAAAAAGTTTACAAGTTTATAAAAAGAAATAAAAATCTATATTCAGAAATGGTTAAAATAAAAATTTATGTAAAAAATTTTTTTTTTATTTTGAATTGCTCTAACAGATAGTTGACTGCCTAAAGCAAAACTAGTAGCAATATATTATGGTTTATAATATATATAGCATATGTAAAAGTAAAATGTGTGGCAACATTAGCACAGAAGATGAGAGAGAGGAATTAGAAACATACTATCATAAAGGCAAAATAATGTTATTTAAAGTTAGACTTGACAAATAAAAATTTTATATTGTAAATGCTGGAGCATCCTCTTAAAGTATTTTTAAATGTATAAATAAAGAGCCAGAAATGTAAATAAACATGGAGTTATAAAAGATAATCCATCGACAGGCAGAAAAAAATGGAAAAATATGACAAAGAACAAATGGAAAAAACAAGAAAAACAATAGCAATGGGGTAGATTTTAAATCGACCAGTATCAATAATTACGTTGAATAAAATGCATGCTCTAAACACACTAATTAAAAGACAGATGGTTGAATAGGATAAAAATGGAAAACACAACTATGTGACAATTCCTCGATAGGTTAAAAGTAAAGGAATAATAGGGGCCAGCCTGGTGGCATAGTGGTTAAGTTCACATGCTCTGCTTTGGTGGCCTGGGGTTCAAAGGTTCGGATCCCAGGCACAGACCTACACACTGCTCATCAAGCCATGCTGAGTGGCATCCCATATACAAAATAGAGGAAGATTAGTACAGATGTTAGCTCAAGGCCAATCTTCCCCACACACAACACACAAAAAGTAAAGATACTATGAAAGATCAAAAGCAAGCTCAAGTGGCTATATTAATATAAAGTAGATATAGTTCAGAAGCAGAAATGCTACTAGGTGTGTAGAGGGATATAACATAAGGATAGAAAGGTCAACTCGCTGAGAAGACAGAACAATCCTAAATATGAATGCAGCTAACAAAGTAACTTTGCAATACATGCCATAATTATTAGAACTGAAATAAAAAATATAGAAAGGCACAACTATGGTTAGAGATTTTAGTATTCCTCTCTGTAACCAACAGAATCGGGTAGAAGTTTTGTAAGACCATAAAAGTTCTGAACAACACTATCAAAAACCTGACAACAGCAGAACATATTTTCAAGTGCCACGTGGAACATTCATCAAGATAGACCATATTATGGGATATAGAACAAACTGAAACATATTTATACAAGTTAAAATCATACAAAATGTGTTATATGACAGCATAATAAACAAATGTATCTGGAAAATCTCAATATTTTGCAACTAAACAACATCCTTCTAAAAACTCTTGGTCAAAGAAGAATTTACAGAGAAAACAGAAAATGTTTTGAAATGATTGAAAATGAAAATACAACCGAAAACTCTGTGATGCAGCTAATGTAGTACTTCCATACTTCAGTGGAATTTATGTCTAAATGCTTTATTAGAAAAGAATAAAAGTCTTAAATCAGTAATCTCAGCTTCAACTATGACACTATGAAAAGAAGAGCAAATTAAAGCCAAAACAAGCAGAAGAAAGACAATAAAAAGGATAAAAGTAGAAATCAATGAATTTTAAAACTTAAAACTTCAGAAAAATCAATTAAAACAGAATCTAGTTCTTTCACCTGGTCAATAAATTGATAAAACTCTAACCAGAATGGTCAAGAAAAAAAGTGGAGTCTATAAATGACCAATATCGGTGCAAGAAGGGACCTCAACACAGATCTTACAGACAAAATAAGGAAACAAAGTAATAAAATGAACAACTTGATACCCATAAAGTTCACAACTTAAAAGAACTGGACATTTTCCCTAAAAGACACAAACTTCTATACTCACTCAAGAGGGCACAGAGTAACTCGAATTGTCCTATACTTATTAAAGAAATTGAATTCCTAGTTAAAAACCTTCCAAAAAAGAAAAATTCAGGTCCGGTAGCTTCATGGTAAATTCTACCAAACGTTTAAGGAAGAAATAATACCACTGCTCATCAAACATAAAAAATACAGGAGAAAGAAACATTTAAGAGGCAAGTATTATTCTGGTAAAAATCCAGACAAAAATAATATAATCAAAGAAAAATACACAATAATAACCCTTATGAATATGCACAAAAATCCTCAAGAAATATTAGCAAATTACATATAGTAATATATAAAATTGATAATAAATCATGAACAAGTGCTGTTTTTCCCAGAAATGCAAGGTTGTTTCAATATTTAAGAATCCATCATGTAATCTATCCCATCAACACATTATCGGGGAAAAAAATGTCAACAGATGCAGCAAGCACGTATGATAAAATCCAATATCCATTCATGATAAAAACTTTCAGGAAAGTATGAATAGGAGGAAAATTTCTTG